TCTTAGTTCTGTGCATCTCAGGGCAGTATTCAACACTCAGTGTTTCCCCTGACAAACTAGATGCTTCCCCACACAAAAACAACTCATTTTTAAAATTGTTGTGTAATTTGCTTCTTGTTTTTATTTTTTGTGGGGAGTGAACTGGTAAACCCAGTGGACTTTCTTAACACTTTTCTAAGTCACTCAGCCTGTTAGTCAAAACTCACTTATTTCTCAGGCTGTAAAATCATGCTAGCAGAATCCCACTATAAATTGACTTATAGACTGGATTTATATAAATTTGGGGACCAATTGCCCCTCCCAGTCAACTCCTATAAAAGATTAATAAAACAGCTTCTTGTTAAGAACACCGACACTACATTATAAAGGGTTTCCCCTGTACTTAGAGTAGCATGAGTTACACATCCAGAATGCCCAGTTAACCAAAGGGTCTTGACCATGCAGACTCTCACATGCCAGCAAAGCCAGTGCAGTGCACTTTTCCAAAAGTGCTCCAATTCTCCTTTTGGACAACTTTCTTAAAAGTTATTTATCAAGTTCATGAAGTACATTCTCACTGGACTTTTTATTCTGCTTACATCTTTTTTACTCATCCCAAATCAAATTTAAAAAAAAAAATTGTACATTTAAACAAGGAAGGGGAAGGCAAGTGCTGAGGGGCACCCTCTTCATTTACTGATGCCAAAACTGAGGCTGTGAAAGATAAATAACGTCCCTGTTGTCATCCAAGTAGCGGATACTAGAACCAGGAATTACACAGAATTGTCTTGCTCCAAAAACCAAGCACCTTGCTTGGTACTCACTGTGGCTGCAGTGAAGGTGGGGGAACTGAGAGGTGACTCCACATGGGTCATGCATAGCCACAGACATTATATGGCCAGAGTTTCAAACATTATTTTGTTCTGTCTTCACCATAGACTTCATCATCAATTACAACTGATAAGGGAAATTACACTTAGCTGAGAAGCCAAGTCCTGGGCTAGGTAGGTGTTTTCTATAGTTATTTCCATTTCTAATAAGACAGTTATTTAAAAAGAAAAACTTATTAGCTCCACCTTTCAGATGGAAAGACTGAGCTTTAGTAGGGTTAAATAATTTGCCCAAGATCACCAACTAGCCAAGGCCAGAGCTGGGATTTAAATCCATTAACATTCCAAAGTCCTTTTGCTTCTGTATTACAAAGCTGACCTGCACTTCCCAGGGAGCTGCTTCCATCTGTCTCCTGTGCCCTTGGTTTCTCCTAATCCTACATTCCAAGAATAAAAATCTTATGTGTTTTCCTTGCTAGGTTAAAGTCAAGTTTCCCCTGCTTTGGGCACCTTCAAATAGAAGACGTTTTCTGCTTCTCTTGCTTCTGAAAGCCCGTGAAATCAACACATCCCCAAAAGACGCCTTGAGGGAGGAAGGGAAAGTGCCCTGCACCCCCAACGCTCCCGCACCAAGAGCGGTGGAGAACCCCAGTTTCGCACTTCCTTGGAGGGACTCCTGGATTAGGAGATGCCTTCTGGCCTTGAAGAGTATTCCCTCGGCTGGGCGCACGCAGTCCATCCCCAATGCTCCAACTTGAAAACTCTGAGGTGGCCACGACTATCCCATTCCAATGTCACCCGACCGCGCTTTCTCCCTTTTTGGTGCTGAGGGCTTTTGAGACCACCTGCCCTGCGCTCCCTACGTCCGAGGGACCGGGGCGAGGACCTGTCCTGCTGAGCGCGCATCACTTACGCGGTGCAGTCGGTGCTTCTCCCTGAGCCGCGGTGCGCACGGACCCCAGTCGGTTGTCCTGACAGCGCTTCCCAAGTCTAGCAGAAGTGAGGTAACCCCACCCAGTCACGAGGATCCTGCCGAACTCGAGCCTTTTAAGTGCTCCTGTAGGATCACATGACCCAGACCTACAGGGCGAGAGCTACGTGGTTTCCCTACCTCCTGGTCCCAGGAGTCAGCGCACCAAGTCAGCCGCACCTGTCAGCGCTTGGTGCGCACCTGGCCCCACCAAGTCAGCGCTCCCCGTTCTGGAAGAAGCGAGCAGCCCCAGGGTGGATTCCCAGGGTGGAATCTTAAAAAATAATAAAGATCATCAGCTGCGGTGCAATTCAGGTTGTTTTGTCCCTTTGTTTTGTTTTGGTTTTCTCTCCCGCTTTTTAAGAGTTGCTTTCTTAGAATTTCAGCCCTGTATTTTGAAATTATTTCTGCACTCTAGGACTTACTTGCAAGCCAGGAATTTCAATTTGGAAAGCGAGTGGTGTTTGACTCCGCCTGTTAAAAAGGCAACACACATTCATTGGTGGTCTACATTCCAGCTGCACTAGCAATAAGCATGCACCAAGTGCCACTGTCCTGCCAAGCACTGTCTCTCTCCTGCATCGCTGCGTTGAAGTCTCAGAGCCACCTGTTCTGTTCCATTATACCCATTTTGTAAGTGGGGAACACAAACTAAGTGAGGTTAGGTAACCCATCCAGGGCCACATTGCTTGTAAGTGACCTGAATGCCTATTATTAACCAGCACCAAGTGCTGGGCATTGAGTCAGGCAGTACGGGGGCAAAAACTAAAAAAGGCAAGGAGCTTGCAATGGCCGGTAGCTAACACAAAATAAAGGAAGGTCGTCATTACCAGCAACAGCGATGTCAACTGCCAGACAAGTGAGAGAGGCCATGGGGAACCTTCTGCACTGCCCCCCACCCCAGATCTCCTCACAACTAGCTGCAGGAGTGAGCTAGGGAAACCCACAGTACAGCAGCCCAGCCAACCCAACAGTCAGGAGGAAAAATTGTTTTAAGTCACTTTCAGTCTCCCATAGTTCGTTATGCCACTAAGGCTAACTAAAGCACTAGTTTTGTGAGCTGGAACAAACTAATGTCACTGAATATCCATTTTCTCCTAAGTACCTACTTTATTGGGTTGTTGTGAGGACGAACTGAAAAACGACGTGTAAATCCCCTAGCATAGAGTGTGTCTTCAGTGATTGCAGTCATTCTTTGCTATCATACCTTCCATGTGGAAGTACTTCCTACCCACCAATCTCTTTATGGCGAAAAATCTGTGTGGGAAAATAATTTTTCGTTAGGGCCAAAATCCACCCACCTTTAATATTTGTAGGACCCAGGGCAAGAGTACAAATAGAGGTTTGTATGCCAGATACCTACCTAAATATTTAAAAGTTATAAACAAAGTTAACAAATGATTAAGTACAATGTGTTCTACCATCCTACCTAGATAAATACACCTTGGGAATTGACATGACATGCTGGATTGAAACTTTGGATGATCTGCACTTAAATATGGTGGTACAGAGAGAGATGGTTTCTAGTTCCTGGTCTGCACGCACCTCTCTCTCTTCCCACGGGGCTCTAGTTCAATGGTGGAAGCTCAGTCCAGCTTCGCAGAAGTAGCTGTCCTCCAGTCACCTCTTGAGCCCAAGAGTATGAACACCAGCGTCAGCACTATTCAGTCATGGGAGTATAGAATCAGCAGACAACACTGCTGCTGGTGTACAGTCCCTTGAAGTAGGCTCAGTGCCATTTGGGAAGGGAATTTGGAATTTGCCTTCTAAAGTGTGCATCCTGGACAAGGGCTCCTTGAATCTAAGTATAAGAGCAACTATTGGCCAAAGAATACCTGTACTCATGTGGAACCACTTAAAAACTAAACTGAGGCCGGGGGCAGTGGCTCATGCCTGTAATCTCAGCACTTTGGGAGGCTCAGGCGGGTGGATCACGAGATCAAGAGATCGAATTCATCCTGGCCAACATGGTGAAACCCTGTCTCTACTAAAAAATACAAAAAGTAGCTGGCGTGGTGGCATGTGCCTGTAGCCCCAGCTACTTGGGAAGCTGAGGCAGGAGAATCACTTGAACCCAGGAGGCGGAGGTTGCAGTGAGCCAAGATTGCACCACTGCACTCCAGTCTGGTGACAGAGCAAGACTCTGTCTCAATAAAATAAATAAAACTAAACTGAGTTTAACAGTAAACACAGAATGAGCCAAACTGTAGGATATTTATTCAAAAACAGGTTGTCCCAAAAGTCTTCCTACAGTTTTACTAACCTCAGGGCTATAAATGCTGCAACTTACAAGAACACCATTTGAAAGTTTAAGTTAATTTAACACTGTTTAGCTCTGTGAATGTTGAATAACACGTTTTAATTTTCATTTTTTTCAGTTCCCCTGAGTGAAATATGGCATGCACTAATCAGAAGGGAAAATTACAATGACATTCATTATAATAATTAAAACAGTCAAAAGAAGTAAGCTTTCAAATGAGTTTTGTAGGTCTGTAGCATTTAGACTTAAGTAGTTATTAAAACTTAAAACTGCACTAAGCTTTTTGGGGTACCCTGTACTTGGGTTTATCATGTGTTGGGTTCTGTGCTAGACACTTGATTGAAAAGAAAAAATTAGGGAAGAAATAGTCTTCTTTAGGGAACTTGAAGTTTAGTTGTGGGGAGGGATGAAGGGGACACACAGATTTATCCTATCACACAATGTAAGTGCTATAATTGGGGCTGATAAAGTACTGGGGGAAATAGAGGACAGGGACCAGGTGACTCTGCCCAAGGAGCCAGGGGAATCCTGTTGGAGCAGCTGACTTGAAGCTGGGCATTAAAAAATGAATAGCGTCTAAGGGGAAAGGTGACAGCACAGGCACTGAGCAGACCACCTGCACTCAGGTTGATGCTGTGCTCTCAGACTGATGGACTGTGCGACACCAGGCGTGTTCAGGATGAGTCAGGGGTTGACTAATACTGAGGTTAGAAAATTAGACTGGAGCAAGCTTGGAAAGGGTATGTATGCTGAGCTCTAAAGGCATACATACCCTTTGAATCTAAGTATAAGAGCAACTATTGATGTCATTCAAAATTAGCAGATTGGTAAGTCTGTTTATTTTATTTTTTGAGGCAGAGTCTTGTTATGTCACCCAGGCTGGACTATGGACACCCGCCGCCACACCCAGCTAATTTTTGTATTTTTAGTAGACACAGAGTTTCACCATATTGGCCAGGCTGGTCTTGACCTCCTAACCTCAAGCTATCCTCCTGCCTTGGCCTCCCAAAGTGCTGGGATTACAGGTGTAAGCTATCGCGCCCAGCCTGGAAATCTATTAACGAAAGAAAATAAAATAGAACAAACGGTACAGAACAGAATAGAACCACAGAATGGGGTATGTGTTTTCCCGGGGTGTTATAACTGATTGGCTAAAAACAGTGGAAATTTATTGTCTCATAGTTCTGGAGGCTCCAAGTCTGAAAGTGCCAGCAGGGCCAGGTTCCCTCTGAAACCTGGAGGAAAAGGATCCTTACTCTCCTCTTCTAGCTTCTGATATCCCCAGCTGTTTCTTGGCTTGTGGCAGCATCAATCCAATCTCTGCTTCAGCCTTCAGGGGCTTTCTCTGTGTCTTTTCACAGTGCCTTCCCTCCGTGTGTCTGTCTCCGTGTCCCAATTTCATCTATTTATGAGGACACCAATGACATTGGAATAGGGCCCACCCTAATGACCTCATTTAGCTTGATTGATTCTATGAAAACTCATTTTCAAAATGAGGCCATTTCACTGCTGCAAGTGATATTTTTAGCCCTTTTCTTGTATTGAGAATAATCACGGGTGGACAAATGAATCTGTTTGCAAAGAGATCGGTTAAGCCTTCTTCTCTGATTGGCTTTCCTGAAAACAAAGATTTCAAACTGTAGGTCGATCACTCCAGATGATTTTAGGGTTTCCCCAAGCCCTTGTGTTCTGTGCACCTGCATTTTCTAGGGAGGTTTGGGTTTGTTAAGCCCTAGTGGTTCAGAGCATGGGTCAGGCTCAGTTCGAATCTAGTAACTTGCACCTAGTAACCACAAGCAAGTGACTTCACTCACTGTATATGATGAAAATACTATTAGCTATCTTGCAGCTTTATTAAGAGGAAGAAATAAGATTGTAGCACATATAAAGTGCTTGTCATATATAAGAGCTTAATAAATGGTAGCTATAACAATAACAATGCTGGTCATGACAATGTGTAAGATTCTAGACTGTGACTGCAGTTCTTCCCAAATTATATCTGGACACCACACAAAAGCATGCCTCTCACTGACCTATAGGCCGGAGCTTTGCTATACTCCTTAAATTCCAGTTAAGAAGACAGAGAACAGCTCGTTTATACATCTTAAGCAGGTAAATACAATTCCAGTTGTCTCAGTTTGTAGGTTTGATTTTACATTTGCAGCTGCTGCCACCAAGATAAATGTGGAGCTGGAATGAAAACAAGGAGAATTGATTAACCTTATGGGCAACGACGCCCCTCTTAGAAGTACCTGGGTCTCTCCCTGTACTTGTCTAGGCTTTTATAGCCATTGTTCCATTTCAGTTTTGTTACTGATCTTCAATGGGTCATGCCCGGCAGCTTAGAAACACAGCTCGGAGGCACAGGGAAAAGAGAAATGTCATAGCCCCCATGCGCCACATTTAATTGCTCAGTAAACACTTTTCTTAAGGAAAGAAGTCAGATGTGTCACACTCACACTCTTGCAAAACAGCATTGTGCTATTAAAAAAGGGAGGGGGTGGGTGGTGGATCCCGCTGAAGAAAGTCTACAGCTGTTCTGCACCTTAGCCATCGGCGTTGAAGTCTTCATTATGTGAGAAATAGGCCCAGGTGGCAGTAACCAAACTCTAAGACACAGACACGTGCCCTGATCAACTTAGTGAAGTGCTTCCATCTCCTTGCACTTGGTAAGGAAGAAGCACCTCCTAAGACTAGCCACAGGCTACAGACTCCAGGGAAGTTGTGGATAATTACATGGTAATTATTTCTAATAAGTGCTTCCACTCTCAGCATGATTATCCTTCCCTGGGTTGCTTGCCTCCTTATGCCTGGTTTATGTAGGGAAACAATGTCCAAATTAATCTACGTCTTTTGTAAGTGAGCCTATACTCCTCTGACGATCCAGATGGTTTAGCGCCCTTTAGCAGCAGGTGTTAAAGCTTTCTTACAAAAGGCACATTTTCAGTTTCCCTTCGGCTATGGGAAGAGCCAGGCAAATAAGACTTTGGTGGTTTAAGGATAAATTATGGGATTAATATAGACATGGCCACTAAGGACAGCTGAGCGAGCCCTGTGTAAAACGAAGAGAAATAATCACAGCGAATATTTGTAAGGATTTTATGTTTTGCCCAACACTTTTCATCTATATCATCTCCTTTAATTTTCACATCAGCCCTGCAAGGTATATACAGACAGTATGATGAACCTGCCAGTGTGCTCGGAAAAGTAACTGATTAAGGGCATGGCCTTAGGAGTAGACCGAGGGGATTTGAATCCCAGCTCAGCCACTCGTTAGCTGTGTAACCTTTGCTGTGTTAATTAACCTCTAAGCCTTAGCCTTCTCATGTCTGGGAAAAGGACATCACCAACCCTTCCAGGGCTGATCTGAGGATTTGATGAAATTCTATGTATGGCCATCAACACAATGTCTGGCCCATAGCAAGCCATTCATTCCTTGGTTGAAGGAAAGATCTTTGTAAATGACAAACACAGATTAAAGAAACTCCCGTAGGTGAAGTAGCATTTGGAGTCTCCTCTGTTTATCTTGTTCAGGCTCTATTTTATTTTCTTCCAGTGGCAATAGTGGTTATGGCAGGTGCTCTGCTTACTCATTCTGAGCCTATCACGTGTTGCAGGACCCAAAGTGGGTTATCTAGAAAAGTGATTCTATGGCCTCTGAAGGGTTTTCTAAAACTTCAAGAACTAGGTCACATCACCAAATAAAGAAATACAAGTAAAATGGGCAAAAGGTATTTCTTGGTAGGAATGCTCAAGCAATTACATAAAACCTTATGTTGCTTTTTATGCATGGCAGTGCAGGCTAGACTGCTCAAAACTTCCTGCTGGGTTAACTGCTATGGATTTAAAGGATTCCCCCTTGAATCTGAGACAGCCACACCTAGGAACACCAAGCAGTGAGAGAGAAAGAACTAGAAGGCCAGGCCCCAGATCTCTTCATTCTCTCTTCTCAGATCCTGCTAAATCTTTCTTGCTTTCCTCATCTGAAAATGGAAGTCATAACAACCTACCCACTCTATCCACCCTTACTGAGCCAAGGATTCTGAATGCACCAGCTAAAGGATACAGTCCATGTCTGGTCACATGTGACACCACGCTCACTAATGTGATGTAAATTGCCCGTGCTTAGCTTGTTCCCCTCTACCCTACCCAAAGATCTATCAGCAAAAAGAGAAAATGAATTATCCCGTCTCCTTCTCAGAAGAAAAGTGACCTAACACTGAGTTGTTAAATTTTGGGCTTCTTTGCTCTGAGACAGTTGGAAGAGTTAACTCCATTTATTTCCCTTTTGGTGCACCCCATTGTTAGTTTCTCTCAGTAAATTTTGACAAGAAAGAGTCAAACAAAACAAAACACACTCGATCCTTATTATTTCTGGATTCCATATTTGCAAATTCTCCTCCATGGTCTGGATAACAAGGACCTCAGAATTCCTCGCCAAGTGTCCACAAGCTTGCTTCCAAAGCCTGCATGCCACTCTTCCTTGGAGTCATCTTCCACCTGAGGGGTGGCCAAGGGCCACCTTACAGAGCTGGAATGCTCAGGGAAGCATGTCCAGGAGAAGGACAGGTGTGGAGGTAGTGTTCTACACCACGATGTTCCAGCACAGAACTTCAGGAAGTCTCAGAATTATAAACTCAGATTGATTTTCTAGGTTGCTATCAAGGTATATTTTTCAAGGTAAAAGGGTATATTTCATTTAACAGTTCGTTCTCTGGTTCATAAATGTTACATATCTAGACATATGATATGTGGGCCTCCATGTGTACTCTTGCCCTAGGCCTCCCAAGAAAGAAGCCGGCTTGGAAAGAAAGAAACATCTGTTGATTTAAACTACAGTTGACCCTTGAATTGATACATTTCTACTACACAAGTCCACTTAACACAGATTTTTTTTTTTTCCTAGAAAAGTGACATTGAGTGTTTCCGCCTTCTCTCCCACCTCCTTCTGTTTCTGCCATCCCTGAGACATTGGGATCAACCCCTTTTCTTCCTTCTTCTCCTCCTCAGCCTATTCAATGTGAAGGCAATGAGCATGAAGAACTTTATGCTGATCTACTTCCACTTAATGAATAGTAAATACATTTTCTATCCCTTATGGTTTTCTTTTCTTTTGAGACGGAGTCTCACTCACCTTGTCACCCAGGCTGGAGTGCAGTGGTGTGATAGGGGCTCACAGCAGCCCCCGCCTCCCAGGTTCAAGTGATTCTCATGCCTCAACCTCCCGAGTGGCTGGGATTACAGGCAAGTGCCACCATAGCCAGCTAATTTTTGTATTTTTAGTAGAGATAGGGTTTTGCCATGTTGACCGGGCTGGTCTTGAACTCCTAGGCTGAAGTGATCTACCTGCCTTGGCCCCTCAAAGTGCTGAGATTACAGGCATGAGCCACTGCCCCTGGGATCCCTTATGATTTTAATAACATTTTCTTTTCTCTAGCTTACTTTCTTGTGATAATATAGTATATGATATGTTTAACATACAAAATATATTGTTAGGTTATCAGTAAGGCTTCTGGTCAACAGCAGGCTATTAGTAGTTAAGTTTTGGAGAAATCAAAATTATATGTGGAGTTTTGACTGCATAGGGGGTTGACATCCCTAACCTCTGTGTTTCTCAATAGTCAACTGTGGGATGTGTCTGTCATCACGTCACAGCCTCGTTTATTCTGACTGTTGCACCTGGGGAGGAGAGTGGTGGGCTTCTCATTGCAGAATCTGTGGAACAGGGTGCCAGCAGATTGAGGAGGGCCCCCAGCCAGCAGCTCTGAGTAAGCAAAGGAACAACAAGGGCAACAGCGGTGTAAATGCTGGAGATCAGGCCCCTCCCCATTTGTATGCAGTGAATCAGCCGCTAGCATGTCTGTATGATCTAAGTGGGAGGGGCTTCCCCATTCCTCCTCTTTGCCTCCCTAAACCTATAAATTTTGGACGTGCCTGCCAAACTCAGCAGGTGTAAGCTCAAACTGGATTATTTTTCAAAAACATAAAAAGAGATGACATTTTTTATATTCTAGATTTCATGAAACAGTTCATACTTGATTGATATTTAAACAA